AAACAGCTCTTGCCTCTATTTTTTGTGGCTGTTAAAAGTGAAACTTCTAGACTTCATAGCTTATGGTTACAAGATGTTAAAGTTGTCATTGACCACATAGAACTCTGATGAGTCAGATACTCCTAAAAGAATGTGATGGAGATCTTAAGTTCACATAACCGAGCTTTTTTATTTTCTTTTCAGAAAAGAAAATTAACACTGATTATTTACTATTGCTACCACAGGTTTTGATATGTCGAAATGAGGCTGAAAAATGCTTAATTGAGACATCTATTAATTCCCTTCGCATAAGCCTCAAGGTATTCATATTTACTTGAATATATTTTAGTATATAGTTGGTCGTAACCCGCTTTGTGTTTTTCTATGCTCAATAGTAGCTGTTTTTTATGGTTTCTATATGGTTTTGTTGTATCTATTTTAGGATAGAGTTGGTTGCAGATTCGGTGTTTTCTTAGAAGCGGACTTGCTGTTCACTTTTCTTGTGCTTTTTTGTCCGGATAGCTTACAGTTCTCACCTGCAAGAGTTTTTGTTGTATATAATTTGGAAATTAGTATCCGATTTATTTTTTCCTTATATCCTTTTCTTTTGGGTGTTCTCTCTTGTATAGGTAAAGCAGGCAGATGAACTTGAAAATATACTAACTAAAAAATTTCTTAGATTTTTATCGATGAGGGCAGAAGCATTCCAGGTATTGAGGAGAAAGCCAGTGCAGGTACATAGATTTCTTGCATGGAGTTCAAATTAGACTTTGTAAATTTATACTGCTTGACAAACTAAGTGGGTGCCATGAACTTGACTTGAGGAATCGTTTTTCTGTAGGAAAATGTGAATTTTCATGTTGTTAAGTCACTATGAAAGCATATTTGAAGATGAACTCCAATAAATTAATCTGCCATATGTATTTACTTTGTGTAATGCTTTTCTATGCAGGGTTATGATATTAGTTTTCTTGTAACAAATTACCATTGCGAGGATATGCAGAAGCACAAGCTCATTGATTTTATTGTACAGTTCATGGAGGCAAGCATTTTTCCAAACCTTATAAAATTGCATGTATTAATTGACTGCTGCTTGAAACGATTGCTCAATTTATACCTTTTATTTTTGAATCGTAGTTGGTCAATTAATATATTTGAGAATACCAATTGCCTCTGTTGGGTTAGGGTGGGTTGTTTCTGGAACACACAAATTTAATGAGTGAAGTTTCGAACACCCAAGTTTCCTGTCCTTTTGCATGAATAGTAGCCATTTGACTATGTATAGCTTTGATGCAAACTCATATGGAATTCCTTTTGTACGAAGAGGCCTTGGAGCTGGTACTCTGAGAAAACAATTTTCTTTGTGTTTTCCCTTTTTTTTTTTTTTTTTTTTT